AAGATGACCTTGAACTTCTGATCCTTCTGCTTTTTACCTCCCCAATGTTGGGGTTACAGGTGTGTCCCACCAAGCCAATTTTATGTAGTAGTGGGGATCAAACCCAGGGGCCTCATGCATGTTAGTAAGTACTCTAACACCTGTGTGACGTCCCCAGATGGGAGCAGCTTTATCCACTTAAGTAGGCTACCTCCATTCAAACTCTTAAAAAAATATAGCTTACAAAGTAGCAGATTTCTTTATGGCTTTTTCATACATCATTATTACTGGTTGACCTTCACTAACTCCCTCCTCTATCCCATCTCCCTGTCCCTCATCCCTTTTTAAAAATTTCCACCCCCAGTATTCCCATTTCCATTTCCAAACCACATGCATTCTGCAAGCCTTAGCCCTGCATTAAAGCTTCTCCCTACCCCCACTCATAGGCCCCTTTCTGTTTTCCTGGCCCCTACATACATTCGTGTGTGTGTATGTGTGTGTGTGTGTGTGTGTGTGCGCGCGCGCGCGTGTGTGTGTGTGTGTGTGTGTGTGTGTGTGTGAAGCTAGGATCTACACGTGAGAGAGAACATGTAGTGTTTGTCTTTTTGAGGCTGGGCTACCTCATGCAATGTAATATTTTCCAGTTTTATCCATTTTCTTGTTTGGTTTTTCTGGTTCTTTTGAGACAGGGTTTCACTATATAGCCCTAGCTGGCCTGGAACTTGCTCTATAGATGAGGCTCTCTATAGACCAGGCTGTCCTCAATCTCACAGAGATCCACCTGCCTCTGAGTGCTGGGATTAAAAGTACGCACCACCTTCACATACTGTTACTGTAGGTCATTTTGGCTCTTAATTAAAGTAAGAGACAATATGCCATAGTTTTGGCCTGTTGTGAAAGGGGAGGGGGCGAGGGTTCTTAGTCTCATTCATAGAAGAATTGAAGAATGGATCCAAATGGCAGAAAGCAGACAGACTTACAGAGACCTACATGACTGTGGCTGGCCAGAAGTTCTGGGGAGTTCTGCATTACAAGGCAGGATTCCAGGCAGGAAAAATGACTGGCACCATCCTTTGAAATATTCTGGAAAAAAATTCATTTTGTACCCTTTGTATGTTCAGAATGCAGCATTATCAGAAACCCACAAAAATAAAATACAATAAAATAAAAAGTATGCACCACCATGTCACACTACAAAGTATAACGGAAGTACTATGTACACATACAAATATATTTTTAAAAATCACACGAGCCAATTCTAGGTCAAACTTACAGAACCAAATTTGGGATGTGAGCAGCCCTCAGTGGAGTTTAGATCAGGTGCCTTATGGAGTGTGCAGCTGGCACAGCTGTGCTGACGTGCACAGTGGAATTCCCAGTTTCTTCCTTGGTGCTTCTGGCTTAGCTTGACTTGATGGGGGCTGGGGCACAAATGCGAGCCCTTGGCTTCAGCAGCTGATTGTGTTCCATGGTGCTGATGTCGTGGGGAAAGGACGTTGTGAGTGATTGCCTGGTGGTTCCCATGGACCATGGGTAATATAAACCTCAGGCCCCTTCACACTCTGTTTCAGATTTTTCTGTTCCTGCAGGGCTAGTACGTGTGAGGAGAAACACTTTCTGGGTCATTTTCTGCTGGAGTAAGAATTCATGCCAGTTCACAGCAGCTCTAGCCTGCTTCCCAGTGAAGCTCTCATGGGGCTTAATAAGTTCATTCACAGATCTTGTCTCTTGTAGAGTAAGAGATTAATGTGTATTATTCCAAATGTTTTCTTTCTCTGAATTTCATGGGCGAGGCTTCTAATTTGCCATGTTGCCTAGAAATTGGGGTATTGGGGTTTTAAACTGTTCTAGTTTGCCTGCAATTGCTGCGACAAAACCCTCTGACCACTATCAACTTGGGGAGGAAAGGGTTTATTCAACTTACATCTCCCTGGTCACAGTTCATCTGAGCACCCAAGGTAGGAACTCAAGGCAGGAACGTGGAGGCAGGAGCTGGATCACAGGCCATGGAGGAATGCTGCTTACTGGCTTGCTCTCCTTGCCCCTGCTCAGCCTGCTTTCTTCTATAATACAGGACCACCTGCCCAGGAGTGGCACCACCCACAGTGGGCTGGGCTTTCCCACATCACTCAGTAATTAAGAAGATGCCCCACAGACATGGCCATAGGCCAGTCCAATGGAGGCAATTCTCCAATTGAGGCTCCCTCTATCCAGGTGTTTCAAGTTGACAACTAAAGCTATCCAAGCACATAAACAAATGTATAGGAAAAGGTTCTAAAATTCTACTATAGGAAAGATGCTTCATTCATCCTGAGCTTTGTGTTTGTACCTTGCAAAATACAAATAGTAACCCAATAATTCCCCTCCACATTAGAGAGAATTAATTTGTGCTGTGCTATAGGACTAAAGGCTCAGATGCCACAAACTATGAGGATTATAGGAGAAAAGGTCAGTCAGGCAGGTGTTATGGGCATCTCTGTAGGGCATTTTTTTGATGGCTAAGTAATGTGGGAGGGCCCAGGCCACTGTGGGTGGTGCCACCCCTGGGCAGGTGGTCTTGGATTGTATAAGAAAGCAGGTTGAGCACAGGCCAGAGGAGTAAGCCAGTAAGCAGTGTTCCCCTGTGGTCTGTGCTTCCGTCCCTGCCTCCAGGTACCTGCCCTGAGTTCTTGCCCTGGTTTCTCTCCATGATGAACTGTAAGCTGTGAAGTGAAATCCTTTCCTTCCCAAGTTGTTTTGGTCAGTGTTTTATCACAATAGAAAATAACCAGTACTACAATGGGCATGGCCTTTGAGGCTAGGCTGGGGTTGACAAAGCCCAAAGCTTGTAAGATGCTGCTATGGTTTGAAGATCTCCCCTGAATTTATGGGTTGGAAATTTAACTCTCAACGCTAGTGTTGGGAGGTGAGGCCTTAATAGAGATGATTAGGTCAGGAAGACTCAGCCCTCACAATGCTGTTTTGTGGGAATGGACTGGTTGCTGTGGAGTGGGATCCTGACAAAACAATAAGCTCATCCCAATTCCCTGTTTCTCACATGCTTGCTTACCCTTCCACCTTTTGCCGTGTATGACTCAGCATACCTGCCCAGTCCAAATGTCTTGGATGTTTCTGCCTCCAAACTGTGAGTCAAAAGAGCCTACATTGTTTATAATTTCCCAGTCTGTGGTTTTATTGGCTACTCTGGCCTTGTTGCTATGTCAAAATACCCTGACAAAAGCAACTTAAGGAAGTGTTTATTTTGGCTCACAGTTCAGGATACAGTCTATTACAGTGGACATCTTAGAAGCAGGCACTTAAGCAGAGGGAGATGAATGCTGGTATACAATTCCCTTTCTCTTTGTGTTTGGTCTGGAACCCCAGTCTGTAGCATGGTATCACCAACAATGAAGATGAGTCTTTTTACTTCAATTAGCCTGATCTGGATCATCCCTCACTGATATGCCTAGAGATTTGTTTCCATGGGTGACTGTCTCCCCGTCTATCTACGGAGTCTCTTAGGATTCAGACATGCCTATCCAACACTGGCTTTTCAGGTCCCTAGGTAGGCATAACCCTGCTCCCTCTACTCCCAAACAGCTTCTGTTCTCTAAAGCCAGAGAGAGGGAGGACTAAGGTGCTGTGTGCCTTCCTAATGCTGCTATGGCAGATGACCACAAGCACAGTAGATTAAGAATACAAATGTATTTCCTCACATTTCTGTAAACCAGTAGCAGGGCTGTGTTCCCTCTGGAGTTTCCAGGGAGAATTTGTATCTTTGCATTTTCTAGGTCATGGTGCCTTACATCTCCATGGCCAGCAATAGCTGGTGGTGTCTCTCTCTGGATACACTGCTCTCACAGTGACTCTTCTGCCTCCCTTGGCCCTTCCGCCCCTGAGACCCTTGGGAGGATGCTGAGCTTGCCCAAATAGAAGAATCTCCTCTTTAAAATCTGATTGGCAGCTTTGCTTCTATTTGCAACCTTGATTCTCCTTTGCATCTTCATTACTTGACTTATTGCTATAATAAAATACATTGGCAAAAGCAACTTAAGGGAGAACAGGTTTTATTTGGCTCACAGTCCCAGGATACAGTCCATCATTGCAGAGAAATCATGTTGGCAAGATCTTGAAGCAGCTGGTCGCTGAGCTTTCTGTTTTGTGCAGCCTAGGACCCAAGCCCAGGGAGTTGTGCCAGCTGTGTATCAGGTGAATCTGCCACCTCAACTAACCTAATCAAATCATTCCTCACAGACATGGCCAGAGGCTAACCTTATCTGAATAACCCCTCACAGGTGTGCCTGGAGGCTTGCCTGCTAGATAATTCTAGATCCTGTCAACTAGATAATAAATACTGTCACACCATGAAATCTAACTTAGTTACAGGGTCCAGGGACAAGAATATGGGCCTTTTCAGGGGCTCCTATGCTGCCCACCATGGACTGAACAGCCTGTATTTCAGACCTTCTGACAGTACTCAGAGGACTTCTGTGACAAAGGGCTGCTCCACCTGCCATACTGCTTGGCATTTTCTCAGCTGTGTGTCTTCGGTTCTTTGGGTTAACTCATAAAATCCATCCCACTGGCCTAAAGATCCTGAGAATATTGACACTTCTATTATTGAGCATTCAATTAGTCATTCATTTATTCCATACGTTTTTACTGAACAGCCAGTGTGAACCAAATGCTGTTACCAACCACAGAGATGGAGCACACACGAACATAGGTAATGCTCTGTTTTCATGAAGCCAAGAGCAAAACAGCAAACGAATAAAACATTAATATTCTAAATGATTCAGGGAAGTAAGTGCCCAGGGTTCTGTTTGTGTTTTTTTACACACACAGATAGTTAAGGACATAATCTCTAAGGAGATGGAATATTAATGAAGGCCCAAATAATGAAACCACCCTGAGTGTTAACCATAAAAAGCTTTCCAGACAGACAGAGCTGTGATGCAAAGGCGGAAGTCAACAGGGTTTTCTGGAAACAGGAAGAAGCCTGGTGTGACTGAGGACAGTGAGGAAGAAGCAGGCTGGTAAGGATGCTGGTGGCAGAAGCGAGGCTGACCAGGTAAGGTTCCCAGGACCTGATACATGGTGTCAATTTGTCCTGAGAAACTACTGCAAAGTATTTGCCTTGCTTTGCTTGGATTGGAGGGTCTGAGCAGAGCTGCACTGTAAGGTTTGGGTTTGGAATGGTGCTTGAATTGCACTGGGGGACTAGGGACTCCAGTGGGGGAGCTGTGACAGTTCGGCTGGGGCCCAGGGAGGTGACTGAAGGGGGTTTGTGAAGATGGAGAGAACATGCTCCCAATCACATGTGCCTTGCTGACAGGATTACAGGCGGGCTAGAAACATCTTGCTGGTCTTTGACAAGACAGTGGACAATTTTAGTGGCCTGGGGACAGCAAAGGTCATCAAGTTCTGAGATGGGGAGGGGCAGGCAGAGCAGGGATTCTTATAAATGCTGTGTCCTTCCAGGGCAGGGAGAGGCTGAGAACCAAGCAGCTGACTTTGAACAAGCTCAAAGAATGTTTAGGCCTGAACCAGGCTGTGGAGGAGTAAGTGGTTTGAAGCCTCCACATTTGAGGGACTGGTCTAGACTGGAGGTATTGTTACACTAAGCTGGTATTTAGAGCTGAAGCTGAGTGTCCTTGTCTGGAGGGGGTAGGAGCTGGGGGTGTAGGTGAGTGAGTGAAGAAGCCAGAGGGCACTCTGTTGGAAAAACTAGGGCCATTTCAGCTGTGATCCATGGCTGCTTCCTCATGTGCCTGGACCTAACAGAGGAAAAGTTTCCTTTCTTCTTTCAACTTCCCACCCTTACTCTCTACATCTTGAAAGAAAAGACAGTTCTCAGGCCCAGAAAGCCTCCCAGGGCTAGGCGAGGATGAAGCCACTTGACCCACTTGTCCATACCTGAACAGGCCTGGGCATCCCTGGACTTCTGTGTCTTATTCCCTGAGACTCCTCTGTACCGAGTAAACACCATTCTCAGAGCCTCCGCAAAGGGCAGCTCTGGTCCTGACTGTTCTCATTGAACTAACATGCTTATCTGTAGAGAGACAGCATTCCTACACCTCTCTCCACAGAGTCTCGGGCGCATCTCTCAGGGAAGAGTTGCTGTGACGTCCTCTGAGAGGTTTTGTCCATTTAGGATGTCAGGAAATGTAGTTGTGGCTATGGAGTGATGGGACATGTTTGGAGAAATACATCGTTAGCTGCTTTCCTTGTGTGAATAGCAGAGCATGTGCTTACACAAACTCAGACAGCTTCAGTGTCGCTGAGGATCATGAGCCCATTGCCCAGCGCAAGGACCACGGCTGCATATGCCAATAAGACCATAATGCAGCACGAGACTGAATCTCTTATTCGCTACCTAAAGCAGTAGAGATGAGATGGGGATAATACAAGGCCAAGGCCCTCTCCTCATATTGCTTATGGAGAGACAGAGAATACATTAAAAAACAAACATATTTATCAACAACGATAAGCGGAGGATGTGCTTTGAAGGCTAATAAAATAGGGATGATGACTAGGGAGAGCCTGAGGGGGCATTTTAATCAGTGGAGAGGACATTTGAACACAGCTGTGAATGAGGTGAGCATAATCCCCAGATTTCAGGCAGGGGGGCTACAGCGCAGTTACTCACCCAGGGCTTCGACTGTATCCTTGCACATCTCTCTCCAGCCTTCCTTCACGGTCAATTTAAAGCATTCTAAGACAGGTGTAGAGATGGCTAGGCGTACCCCTCTTGCAGAGGAACAGTGTTTAGTTCCCAGCACCTCCCTCTGGTGGCCTACAACCACCTGTAATCCCTGTTTCCCCCCAAGGGATCTGCCGCCTCTGGCCTCCTTGGACACTGCACAAAGTCACAGTCAGACACTGATATCTATACATAATTAAAATAAAGACAATATTTAAAGCATCCTGAGAATGTGAAAAAACCTCTCCAGCACCCACTCCACAGATAGGCAATGTGTACTGTGCATTCATCTTCAAAACAAAACAAACAACAGCAATAATTGGAAAGGGTTCTAGTTTGGATCTGAAGCTGTACCTGAAGGCCTCTCTGTTAAAGGTGCAGTCATGAGCCTAGGACACTAGTGGAAGGTAATGGAACCTTTGGGAAGAGTGCCTAGTAGGAAGTTAGGTCACCAAGGCGCATTCTTGAAGGAATGCTAGAACCTGATCTCTCTCTCTCCCTCCTCCTCCTCCTCCTCCTCCTCCTCCTCTTCTAGTTTGGATCTGAAGCTGTACCTGAAGGCCTCTCTGTTAAAGGTGCAGTCATGAGCCTAGGACACTAGTGGAAGGTAATGGAACCTTTGGGAAGAGTGCCTAGTAGGAAGTTAGGTCACCAAGGCGCATTCTTGAAGGAATGCTAGAACCTGATCTCTCTCTCTCCCTCCTCCTCCTCCTCCTCCTCCTCCTCCTCCTCTGTGCATTCCTATCACTATCTTGGTCTGTGCCACTACAGGTCAGAGCTCAGAACAACCAAACCAAGTGACCATGGACTGAAACCTCTGAAATGAACTTTTCTTCTTTTTAAGTTTATTATTTCAGGTGTTTTGTTACAGTAATACATAACTGACTAACACAGGCCATTAGATTGAGGTGGCTCTCTGACTTCCCACATAGGCAATTTCACAAAAGCACTCATATTCTAGGCAAGTGTGATATCAAGCAACCACTAGAGACTTCCCACTGGAGTATCCAAATTAGGCCTCTGTTCCACTTTAACCAAGCCATTATTTCCTTTGTTCTATCTCCCCACTTGGAGTGTAAAAGGCTTCCCTTCACTCCTCTTTATCAGAGCCCCAAATATTTTCTGTTAAAGCCTCCCAAATATTTGGGCCCACTCTGTTCAAATCAACTCCAAAAGTTTAATGTGCCTTAGTGTGTCTCTTCACAATCATTTGGACTGTATTGTATTCTATTTTTGTAGGGTTTCTGAATGTGTGAGAGCCACAAGCATAAGCAGTTCATACCAGCATCTATATTTGTGCATAAAATTAAATGATATTGTAATTAAAGTTATAGCCATATGCCACATAATGAGTTTTCAGACATTGATGGGCTACATGTAAAACAGTGGTCCCGTAAGATTACAGCAGAGCAGAAAATTTTCTCTTGTGTAGTGTAGTTGTCATCACATGGTAGAACATCACATTGTGTGCATGTGTGTGTGTGTGTGTATGTATTGTTAACAGTGTGAAAATAAGCCCATACCACTGCCAGTATATTAAAAACATGGCACTTACACTTAGTGTAGTTGCATACGGCACTTCATACTTGATGATAGTGAACAGCCATGTTCTTGGTTTATGAGTTACGACATTATTTTAGAGCATACCATCAAACAGTATGCCACCATACACTGGCCACAGACTCATAGATGATGTGTACAGCACTTGTGAACTGCGTTGAGTGTCCCCGTAGAGTGTCATCCTGGCCTCTGTGTCTGTGTGAATGTACCCTACAATGCTCATACAATTCAAAATTGCCTGAGCACACATTTCCCAGAATACATCGCCATCACCATCTACTGACACATGAAAGTACTTAGATAAGGGTGTGCTTGAACCTAACTTGAATCTAACACTAAATTTGAAAGAAGGAGTTAGTGAGAAACTACAGATTCAAACTGCAGAACAAGACAGGGGTTTCCCAGCTGGGCATGGTGGTACATGCCTTTGATCCCAGCACTTGGGAAGACAGAGGCAGGCAGACCTTTATGAGTTCAAGGCCAGCCTGATCTACATAGTGAGTTCCAGGCCAGTTGAGGCTACAGGGAGACCCTGTCCCAAAAAGACCAAAAAAAAAAAAAAAAAGGGGGGGGGGATTCCCACAGGGACCATTTTATTGCCTTGGGATGAGACATTGTAGTGAATACCATCTCTGAAAAAGTACAGACAGCTCTGCATCCAGTGTGACACAATAGACTCAGACTTTTGCTCTACTTTGAACTGACAAGGTCTTCCTCCACAGGTCTTTAAGTGTGATACCATAGGAGCCAAGTCCCTTATGCCTTAGTCACATATCAAGAAAGGTCCTCTCCTTGGGTACCATGCATGGGAGGGAGGGAATAAATGTGTGTGACTGAATTTTTGGTTCTTTGTGTTATCAACCACGTCTTCTTCATGTCTTCCTAAGGAAGCAACAAATATACTGTGTTCACGTTTCTGTATCTGTAGAGTGTATCCCTCTCCTTTCTTCCCAGCCTTTTCTATTGGGCTCCATGTCTTCTTATTGGAGAAGTCAACTGGAAGCTTCCTATTGTAACCTCTCTCATTCTGGTTGATTTAGCTATTATTGAACCATTTTTAAAAAACTTCTTCCTAAAGTATTCAGACTTAATTACATGTTTTTCTTCTGCCTTTGGCTCAAGTGTGCTAATTATGTATTATTTAGTCTGACTCAAGTTTATTATTAGACTTTTCATTGTCCCTCCATTTGCTAAATTGCAGAGAATTTGTATTTTTAGGATTCTTTCCATTCATGGTGTCATTATTTGAGGAAAGCCAGAGGAAGATTAAGAAGTAGGCTTAACTCAATGTTTCCGACTCCCGGTATAAACTTGCACGTACCGAACTGAAGCTGTTTGGTTCTGTTGTTGACCAGCTTGTGAGCATCCCTTTATTGAAGCCGGCATGGTAGGTAGAGCTTTCTCTTACAATGGATGGTTTGCAAAGCCAGAGAAACATGATACTGCAATGAGTTATCAATAGGTTTTTTCACCTACTGTGACATCTTCTTTTCATCAAGGGAGCCCTGCCTGATCACTTCTGAACTCCCTTTTTCCATTTTACACCTTATTAGAAGCTCTCCCAGAACATTTTTGGGGCTCACTATTGTTGCTACTATGCTTGCTTGGCTCATTTCTTGATGCAGTCAGTCAACAGATGCCTGCTGAAGGGCTATCATTGTAGACACTGAGGATAGAACTGGGTAAAGAAGGACTAATGTCCCTACTCTCCTGGAGTTTGCACAACAGTGACAGGAAACATACTCTAGACAAAAAGAAATGAAAACATAGCTGTCCAGTAGGAAGTACGATTGTGCAGCATTCCTCCT